CACACACACACAGACACAGACACACAGACACACACAGACACCAGACACCACACAGACACAGACACATAGAGACACAGACACACACAGACACAGACACATAGAGACACACAGAGATACACACACACACACACACACACACACACACACACAGACACACACAGACACACAGACACACACACACAGACACACAGACACACACAGACACAGACACACACACACACACCCACACACACAGGACACACAGACACACAGACACACAGACACACACACACACACACAGACACATAGAGACACAGAGACACACAGACACACACACACACACACACACACAGACACACAGACACACAGAACACCAGACACAGACACATAGAGACACAGAGACACACAGACACAACACAGACAGAGACACATAGAGACACAGAGACACACAGACACACAACACACAAGACCACCACAGACACCCCAGACACATAGAAGAACACAGAGACACACAGACCACACACAAGACACACAGAACCACCCAACAGACACCACAGTGAACACATAGAGACACAGAAGACACCACAGACACACAGACACACAACACCACTATCAACACACAGACACACACACACCACCAGACACATAGAGACACACAGACACACAGACACACACAGACACACAGACACATAGAGACACAGAGACACACAGACACACAGACACACACACACACAGACACACACACACACAGACACATAGAGACACACAGACACACACACACACACAGACACATAGAGACACAGAGACACACAGACACACACACAGACACACAGACACACAGACACACAGACACACACACACACAGACACATAGAGACACAGAGACACACAGACACACACACACACACACACACACACAGACACATAGAGACACAGAGACACACAGACACACACACACACAGACACACACACACACAGACACATAGAGACACACAGACACACACACACACAGACACAGAGACACACAGACACACACAGACACATAGAGACACACAGACACACACACACACAGACACATAGAGACACACAGACACACACACACACAGACACATAGAGACACAGAGACACACAGACACACACAGACACACAGACACATAGAGACACAGAGACACACACACACACACAGACACATAGAGACACAGAGACACACAGAGACACACACACACACACACACACACTTTATGATCAGATTTGCACACGCCGAGACACACCCTGACTTCTCTCCATGCAGGCAGTTTCTTGAATGGTGGCGTTAATTAATAATGAACGAGGAGCAGCAGCAGGAGGCAGAAAGTCCTCGCCAACATGTCACATGTTTTTATAACCACATAGACGTCATACCAGACAGCTTCTTATGATGGTATGAGCTTTTTGCGCATCATGAACAATACTGAATTACTTAAAATAAATTCAGTTCAAATTAGCTTCCTTTAAAGCAACTTCGCTGTGTTTTGTATTCGGTGTTGCTTAACATGAATTGGCCAGGTTGTACTTTAAGGCTTAACTTTTGTATAAGATGCATTTAAACTCTTGAGGTTCAATTTGAATGTTTTCTTAGAAATCCTTAACACGCCTTTGCTCATAGAAATCTAGTCATTTCCATAAAAACAAACAGAATAGGTCTTTCACTATAAATAATATGTCCTTCTCATTGGCTGAGGCTAAGCTGCAGTAAGAGACTAAACAAAAAGCTGGATGAAAAAGACTCCATGTTTAGAATCAGTGTAAATGTGATATAGTAGCTGCTGACATCCTCAGCAGTTTCCGAGCAAGTGCAGGCTGCATGTGTGGCACAAATGTGTGTGTGTCGGGTGGGGTGAGGTGTGTGTGTGTGTGTGTGTGATGCATGTTGTAAGTGAGAAGAAAGGAGTAGACAGCTGCTGACTCCTTCTTGATCTGCACAGGGAGGGACTGTGTACAGTGTGTGTGCAAGAGTTAATATGTGTGTGTGTGTGTTTCATTACCTTGTCTATGTGTGAGCTTGTGTACTGTAGGTGTGCTTGTGTGTGTGTGTGTGTGTGTGTGTGTGTGTGTGTGTGTGTGTGTGTGTGTGTGTGTGTGTGTGTGTGTGTGTGTGAACAGTAGAGCTATTTAAAAATCCAGGACAAACGAGAATCAGACAACTTCTCAACACACTGCAGGTAAGAATAGACATCAGTCACACAGGAGGATGAGGTTTGAAGAGGTGTGTGTGCTTCTGGGGGGTCATGGATGAATAAGCCATTAGTGAATCACACACACACAGATAAACAGAAAATAACAACAGCGGTCGCGTAACTAAGTAGGCCAAAGCTCCGAGGATTAGGGCCGTCTCTCTCACACACTCTCCTTCTCTGTGTAGTCTACATGCACTCTTTTGTCACATTGTAATTTAATAGTTTTGGGAAAGACAGGCATCATCTTTTATTCATCTATCTTGGTCTCAGTTCGCTCCCCGTCTGACGCAATGAAAGAGTTGTGAAAGAGCTTCTGTCTGACCTTTCAGACTGTGCCACAAACTAGACAAATATCAACGTCAGAATAAACTAATATTATTATGTTATTACTATCTACGAAAAGGTGCAATGTGTAATGCCTAGCCACACGCTCCAAAGACATAGGGGCAGCAGTTCACCTCTACTATCAGGATTATATCATATAAATGGATATTCTGGCCATTTCTCCAAAAAATGCACATTCATGCTCCTCAGAAGATGACACATTTAGATTTGACATCAGCTCAGAATGTTTCCTCTAGCAACAAAAACACCTTTTCAGTCAGAGGTGGCATGACAAACAGTTTTGAGTGGGTTTGTAAGCATTTGTCTTGTATTGTGCTTAATAATGCTGCACATTCCTGAGGAACATTTACACACTTAACAGCTGAATAAATGCAACCCTAATGTAATACAGCATGGTTACGTCATCTGATTCAGATGGTGTCTAATATATTCAAGTCATTGTTCTGCACTGTGGACCCCTGGAGCCCCCTAAAGCACCCTCGAGGATCCTTAAACAAAATGATTTTAAAAGCTCAAATCCACCAACCAAAGCAGGCCTGCAGAAAAACCTGCATGCAGAAAAAAACTGTGATACAAAAGTAGGTGGTGAAACAGTAAATCAAATCACCTGTTCAAATCACATTATGTTCACACACACACACACACACACATCATCGTTTGTATGCATGACGATTCTCATCATCGATCGCTACCCTGACTGAATATCTGGTAGTCCAGAGAAAAGCCTATAAACGAATATCACACTTACATAACGACTAACACACACACATCCTGCACTGATGGCACGCCACATACACACACTGTCACGCATATGTCGTCGCCCAAAGGTAAACGATGCTTACGACATACGACCAATCTTCGTCCATTTTTCTCCTGATTTAGCATCACTTGACTTGACACACACACAATGTCATTTTAAATATCATTCAATAAAGACTTGGCTTGCATTAATTAATGTTCATTCACATGCAGAGGGAGGGATGAATCATAAGATGACTGAAAAGGTAAATTAAGACCAAAATATTTGAAAACACTTGATATTAACATGAATGTACCACGTACAAAATAAACGGTTATTAACGTTAGCACCATGCCGTTATTACCGTTAGACGAGACATTATCAACCATTTTAAGGGTCTACATTGTAATATCGATGATACATCATGTTGTATTATTGTCAAACACTACTGTATTTACAGAAATAGTCCATGACAGGCTAATTTTTACATATTCTTTGGCTTCTTACCCTATTTCTTCAGATCTCTCAGATCCTCCTGACTTAGCTTCTCACCGTTGCCCAGCACCAGCCGAGTGAGCGAGGACAGCTGGCACAGCGCGAGCCGCAGATGCTTCAGTGCCAGCAGCCAATCAGGAGCCTCTTCTACCTGAGTAACGGAAAAACCGACCAATAGGAAGCGAGAATTTTCTACCGAAGGGGTCTCCTCTGCTTAGAAGACAGGGGCGTGTCCCTGCCTCCTGAGACTCATGCTGCCTTCAAATGCTGTCGGACATACTGCGTTTAGTAGTGTGATATACATTGTATATAGCGAATCATGTATATTCTCAATGACTAAAGGTATTAACTACAATTAAAAGGTAAAAGCAACATGAACAGAGGATTGTTACAGGTGTCAACTGATTTATAATTGACTACCAATGTACCAGATCAAAAATATAACAGGTTCACACACAGTATTTTGATTACTTATTTTAAATTATTTAATTATAAACTTAGTAAGATAAATAATCAACCTCAAATTTTGAAAAACAGACAGGTGTACCGGCACGTGAACAGCAATATACATCTTTGGAAGTGGTGCAGCTGCAAAACATATTATAGTCACCTAAAGAAATTAACATCAGTGTATTTGTATGCTATAGAATATTGTAACACTTACCTTGCTGTTACACAGCCCTCAAGCTCTTCAAAACCACCAAACTCATTTGACAAAAACAATAATTTTAGCTCAAAACATTGATTCATTTGTGTTATTGTGTGATTTTGATGAATCTGAAGTAACAAAACCCACACTTTAACACAACATGACTAATCAGGACCAGCAACAGAGGTAGTCATGCAATTTAAAATTAAATGGAGTTTGGTGGCTGAGAGAGGAGCAGAGATAACTTATTTTATATTCTATAATTCACTGCATTCTATTTAGCTGTAAATTACTGCTTTATTGTATTGCTATCTAACTATATTGTATCACAGTGTCCTTAAAGATTTGTTGTTTTATATGGAGTTTTTGTTTTATATTTTATGTATGCACCATGACATCAAGTCAAATTCCTCGTATGTGTGAACCTACCTGGCAATAAACCCGTTTCTGATTCTGATGGAAAGATAAAACGATGAAAATATTTCAAATATAGCTTACACTTGGACTGATATTGAAAACAATAGCACAATCAAATGGAAATCTAACCCTTAATTGACAGAAAGGTAGAAAACACGTTATCACAAGAAACAGTCCTTTTTTTATTCACGGTTCATTTCTTACATTGTTCAAGTACAAAGTTAAAATGCCTTTTTAATTAGTTCATATTCATACAAGAGTAAAATAATAATAGTGCCTTTTCATTACTACGACAAACTTAAATACAGTTATTGTAAAGACAAACTTGATTTATACTCCTAACAATATATTTTTCTTATTTTCAGATAAAATTTTAGCACCTTTGAAACACCACCATGTCCTCCTTTTTCCTAAAAGCTCATCTTTCCTTAAGTCCATGAGATGAGTGTCTGCATGCGCCACAGCCTTGTATGTGTGTCCATGTTGTGCGTGTATCTCTGCGTTTGTGTTTGTTAATAACAGTGTTTTGTGAGTTTTATGTTTGTAAGTGTATCAGTGTTGAAAACGGCGCATCACTCAGCCCAAAAGCTGGCAAACAGAAACACCATCACAGAGTCACCCATCGCTTGAAAATATCGCTTCCATTCCTCTTGCTTTAATCCATCTGCACTCTCAAACAGATGTGTTGAAATCACACAAAATGAGCTGAAGTCTGCTTGTCAAAATGTGTATATGTTTATATTATTATTTCAGGAAACTCAACTTATTACAATGATATTTATGTTTTCCAAATAAAAACGTTATGTTTCTATCCTGTTGGCAAACTTTGTATTTACTTCAATTTTCCCAGATGTTGGGATTTCTGTGTATTTTTCTATATTTTGTCATCCACACAACTCCATTCTGTGTCATTTCAACCCGCTGTTGTTTGAGAGTTTGCTTCGACAACGTCTTTCGGCATCCTTGGGTACAATAGAACAAGTCACTATACTAACTGTAATATATGCTTTCTCGAGCCTCTCCTTCCCCTCTAGGCTGAGACTGAACTGAGCACCAAGCTGGAACAGTACACACACACGATAACAGATTATTATTGTAATTATTATTACCATGATTATTATTACTCCCTAATCTAACATGGATTCAGAGATTACACTGACTGACTGACATGCAGCACCTGGGGGGGGGGGGGGGGGGGAGTCTGGAGCACCAAGCCTGATGGCAACAGGCGGCAGGCAAAAACACAGTGTGTATGCATGTGTGTGTGTTTTGATGTTTTGTAGTGGAAGGAGAAAGCTTTAAGACGGCACTGTGTTTCCAGCACGTGTGTGTGTGTGTGTGTGTGTTTGTGTATGTGTGTACCCTGCAAGAACGATGTTAAAAAAGAGTTTACAGAGTTTTAAAAAGCACCTGAAGGTTGGTTGTATAAACGCAGAGTAAACATGATGGAAAAAAGGTTGAACCTGCTGGTTTATTGTTAGTTATTGTAAATGTGTGTGTGTGTGTGTGTGTGTTTGTTTTAGCATTGACTGCATGTGTCCAGTTGTCAGCTGGTATCTGAGGAAGTTGTCGCCTGAGGACTAGAAGCACCAGACTGAAGAGATGGTTTCTCTAAAAGACAGCCCTGTGTAAATAAAATATTGGTATTTTGGGAGTCGTTTAACGTTAAATTACTGGGACACTCTTTCAATATTCACTATATATATTCAAAATATGTGTAATGTGTATTTGTAAAGCGCTTTGAGCATCTGGAAAAGCGCTATAATAAATGTAAGGAATTATTATTATTATTATTATATTCAGGAACAATTCCATTTTGCGCCCATTCACACATGCTGGAATAAAAGTGTCTGGATGTACATGCACACGGTGGAAGACGTCTTTCATTATTTTCAGGAACATGGTAGGTGAGGAGAGGGGTATTTTAACATTAATTCACACATGACCCCATGTAGGAAATGTTCCTGAACATTATAGGGATAGCCTGCATGTGTACAAGAGTCTCTTGAAATATGAAGTTATCTTTACTTGTGTTCTCTTGTACCAAGTCCCAGATTGTATCCCAACATTTGGGAAAAGGAAGAAGAAACCCCCCAAAAGAGGTGGGGCATTCAAATCTGTGTGATGTGAGGAAGTATCTGTTATTTCATGACACAGGGCTGTCTGTTTCAGTCGTAGGAAGTAGAAATCCAGCATAGTGTCTACAGAGTGAAGGTCTGCCTCTGGTTTTAGTGAACGTCGCTGCGATAACAGGAGGGCGGTTTGGATCCCTATGAAGCAAAGTAGGAGCGTAACTGCAAGAGAAGCTGATTAGTAACCATAAGGGTTCAGGTTTGATTTACTTCCTTTTCATTGAAATGCTTCTGTGAGCACAAGACTGAGCTATTTAAAAAGTATTTTCTTTTGTCTAATATTTCTCAGAGGCAATTGGCCTCTGGAGGCAGAAACAATCTCATCTGGATTCATTCATTTAAGATGTTCGGGTCAGAAAACACCCACATGTTGTAGTACAAGTGGGAATAAACAAATTCTTAAAATACGACTAGTGTAAAGAATATGATCGTATATTACCCAAAGCATTTTCTAATCTTATTTACAATCACTGCCTAAAGTATTGCAAAACCAAATTTAGTATAAGGTCTAAAATCTGACTTTATTCTTCCTCTATTTTTTTATTTGTTTGACAGCTAACAAAGGTATTTTTTTTAATCAGATTCATGAAACGTTTTTTCTGCCCACTGGAAGGCACTGCAAACACTAAAGAGGCAGACAGTTAGGGTTAGTAGTCAAGTATTTACTTGATCTGTTCCAGTGCAGCTTTCCAAAAAGAAAAGAAAACTAATTAAATTCTAATTTAGTAGAAGTTACGTAAAAAAAAGGCTTCTTACAAATCCTACTGTCCATAATTGCATTTTTCTTTCGGACTCTTTTTTGCCACATACATATATCTTAAAATGTCAGCACTCTTGCTTAGTGTTGCTCCCACCTGCTTGCAATAGATAGTTCATCTAAGTTAGGGAAGAAAAACTGCAGCGACTGAAACAACCAGAGAGCATTCGGTCACCTCGAGCACCAACATCTTGTATTTAAAAGTGTATGAAAGCGGCACCATTTGAACTCTAACACTGCCTGACCAGCACCATGATTGTTAACTGAAGTGTGTGTTTTCGTATATTTGTCAGCAGCACTATCACTACGCATGGAAACAGTTACAGTTTGATTCTCTGGTGTGTAGATGTATTCAGAGAGAAGTCAGAAACAGAAAGTCAGGCGTCTTTGTCAGCGTTCAACTCCCCGGAGGTTTGACCTCACACAGTAAAGCCAGAAGAAGACACCAGTTTGAAGGTCGGAAGGGAAGAGTGTGTGTTAAGAAGACAGGACATTAAACCCTGCACCAGTTTTGTGTGTGTGTGTGTGTGTGTGTGTGTGTGTGTGTGTGTATGTATGTATGTATGTATGTATGTATGTATGTATGTATGTGTGTGTGTAGTAGGCCTGTCACAATAATAACATTATTGACTATCGTATGATTTATGAACATGACCTCCAAAGATGTTTTGATTACGGCTATATAGGCTGTGTTTCTATACATGTTTATTAATTGCATAAATAAATAATGTCAACAACATTTCAGTTTACATGATGCCAGAATAACAGCAGGGTTTTGTGGTGTGAATTAATTAATCTTATATTTTATTAAGGATATATTAGAAGTCAACTTATTCCTTGAAATATTGTTTATAATAAAAAATGGTTACCTCTTTGGAACGGCGTAGTTGCATGTTATTATTCATTTATATTATCAGTATATCTGTGGCTTGAAATAGTCCTAAAATGACATTAATATGGTTTATAGCCATTATTTCTGGGACATTATATTATGTAGTTATTGTGACAGGCCTGTATGTGAGTATATCCGGTCATCTGTGTCATCCTGCGTCAGCCAACCCTCATGTACTAGCTGTATGCTGTGTGCTGTATGTTATATATGTGTGTGTGTGTGTGTGTGTGTGTGTGTGTGTGTGTGTGTGTGTGTGTGTGTGTGTGGTGTGTGTGTGTGTGTGTGTGAGAGAGAGAGAGAGAGTTGGTGCGTGTCTAGTTGCAGGCGAAGTACTCTTTGAGCGGGGCGAAGAGGTGCCGGATGACGGGGACGCTCCAGGACCGTCCCAGCAGCCTCTGACGCGCCAGACGACTCATGTTGGACACGTCGGTGTAGTGGACGGGGAAACCAAACACCCTGCAGACACACACACACACACACACACACACACACACACACACACACACACACACACCACACACACACACACACACACACCACACACACACACACACACACACACACACACACACACACACACACACACACACACACACACACACACACACACACCACACACGATTTTCAATTAAAATGGGGCTCGTTTCTAAACAATACATCGCCTTCTAAAACTGCACAGCTCTCTCATTCTCATATTTTTCCCTTTTCTTTTCAATTTTTATTTATCCTTGTTTTCATGTATGCACCAATACACAACATTTAATTCCTTGCATGTGAAAACCTACTTGGAATAAAAACAAATTCTGATTCTGATTGAATTGGATTTGAAACATATTTCGTTGTTGTAGATTGGATTATTTTTTTGGTTTAAACTATTGGACGAAGAAACAAAAGACATTTGAAGACATCTTTTTGGGGAATAGGATATTGAGAAGGCCTTCTCCACTTTTTTCTGATATTTCAGAGAGCACTTTAGTCAAAATCTAATCTGGTTGTCTACAAATATGCTTTGGTCAAAATCAGCAATCCATTTAGCGTGTAATATATGTTTTTTTACTCAGAAACTCTTTAAATGTTGCACAAAAGTAATAGTTTACTACATTGACATTCAAACAATGCAGATCAGAAACACACAATAACACACACACACACACACTGTACCTTTCCATCTCGGTGCACCACAGGATGTCCTCCTTGCTTTCCATGAAGACGGGGAAATGCTCGTCTTTCCCCTGCTTCACAGAGTTGGAGCGTGTCGTTATCGTACGCAACTTCTCAAACTGGAATTAGCATTCAGAACCAAACACACGCAAAAAACACAAACAGACACACACACAGCCTTTTTAATCCTACAGCTATCGTTGATTTGTAAAGCAGAGTTATTTGATGCGTTGTGATATATAAATAAATATAAAATCAACATCTTGTTAACGAGAAAACTGACTGACAATTCCTCATGCTGGAAGAGCAAGAAAAGATGAGAGAGAATCCTTTAGAATGGACATCAATGGATTTCCTATTTTACAATTTCCATTCAACCTAGACATAAACTCTTGAATACTGCAGGCATACAAGTTCATTGTTTGACAACACTGTGTAGAGGCCCATTTCCACCCATGTGATGAATTAAAGATCTGTATGTAAAGATACAGATGGATTTACTTTTCTTAATAAACTTGTTATTTTTAGATAGTATGTACTTAAAGGTAGGGTAGGTAAGAATGGAGAAACCAGCTCGAGTGCGCTAGAATTTGAAAGTACGCAGCCGAAAAAAATCTGCCCCTTCCTTCAGACTTCCTGACAGAGCCCCTCCTCCAACACACACGCACGCGCACATGACCAATGAGGGCACGAGATAAGTTTGTGCACAGAGGAAGGCTGACAGGCAGGTAGGCCATCCAGTTACTTTAGCCGGGCCGGCTCAGATGATTGGTCGTGCTTTTTACAGCGCCACGGCTTCCAGAGATTATGTATTTATTGTCAAAGCTTTTAATGTATTCATTGCTATCGGGATGTTAAGAGCATTCCATGGAATATAACAAGTGTTTCTGAAGTTAATTACCTACCCCACCTTTAACGTTGCAATACTGAGTTATTCTTTTGTGATAGTAAGTCATCATAAGTTGTTATGGTATACTGGATCTTTTTATTTTTCATTACAAGGCTTAATTTTCATATTGTTTTTTTCTTTAAGTGGTGGAAATGTGCTTCCAACCACCAACATGGGTGGTGGGCAAAAAGGTTCAAACTTTTTTCTTGTTATCAGTTTTTCTGCCGATCAAAAAGAATGTAACATTCAATACCCAAACCGGTTAGGTACCATTCAATAAAAAGCACATACACACTTATACACATACACACACACACACACATTTGTAGAGGAGGCTAACCTTGGCTGTACGTCCGTGCTCGAGGCACTCCTGTAGGTCCAACCTGTCATTCGACATGGCTGACAGAGGTCTGTACGGTGGTCAAACAAAGGAGAACAAATTAAATTAAATTATTTATTGGGGATAAACATTTAGTTTTTGAAGGGTGTTTCTCAATGACAGTAATAAGCACAATTAGACAACATAATAAACCAAAAGAAAATCTTATTAGACGATACCAAAAAACAAATAAACAAATAAACAAACAAATATAAAATGACAATACACACAAAATCAGGAGCTCACACTCAAAGCACAGCATGAAAAATGTAATCATTAATAGATAGGATTTTTTTATCGACAGTTATAGCATTAAGTAATAACGTTCAAATTCAGCTTTTTAATATTCAAGAAAATGAAAAGTGTGTGTGTGTGTTTTCACCTGGACATGCCGGGCAGGTTTCCCCAGAAGTAGCGAGCGCGGTGGGCGGCAGAGACCTCCTTGGCATCTATCATCACCGGGTTACACTGGAGAGGAGAGGCAGGGTTACTTCCTGTTTCATTACTTCTGTACTTATATGCATTTACTTTAAATTGGTATTGGTATTAAAGGTCCCCTATTATACTGTTTTTCATCAATATATTACAGATATATACAAAACATGTCTCTGAAGTGTTTGGCTCCAAACACCCAACAGATCATTGCAGCATTACCCATAATCCCCTCTGTTTCAGCGCTGTTTCAAAAGTGCTGATTCTCTGTCTGTTACTTTAGATGAAAATAAGGAGCCCCTCCCCACGCCCCTCTGAGAGAGATTTGGTTACAAAGAACTCAATGGTGCTCTAGGAGGAGATTCAGGTGATAAGGTGGGGGGGGGGGGTTACCTTGGTTGCTGATTGGCTAATGGTTACACAAGCCAAAACATTGTTATGACATCACAAAGTGGCCAAAATCTGATCAGCTCATTTTCAGACAAGTTCTTATATAAATGGATCAAAAAGAGAGAGAATCTTTCTTCCTGAGTCTCTTTACACAGAGGGGACACATGTTTATGTATAAAAGACATGAACAAGTGGATTTTGCATAATAGGTGACCTTTAAATCTGTTTTTAGTCGCTGTGTTCATGCCACTGTACCTCTAAGAAGCGGGAGATGTCCCGTTTGTCGCTGACTCCCATGGCGACTACATTCTCAAACAGCCAGTAGAAAGGACGGACGTCGCCTGTTTTTGGTCGAGCCTCGTGCAGCAGGCGGTAAAACTCAAAAAACAACCGACCTGTCCCCTCTGCAGGGTGGAGAGAGAAAGTTCAGCCCCAAATTGAATTTGACACAAAGGGCTTTAGGGACCCTGAGCATGTGTAAATGCACAATCATTGTAAACTGTAATGTAATGAACTGTAATGAATAATGACTTCTTGCAGTAGGACATATTTCGAGACATGACACTTGAGTTCAAATCTAATCCGGTTGTTTCGAAAGCTAGTAACATTTCTTACTGTTGGGAAAATACTGAATGTCCTCTTCCAATACCAGAGTCCACATGATAACAAAGGTATCCCAACTGTAGCTGTGAACATGACAGGATGTATGATTACCTAGAAGAGCATCAGGACTGTTTGAGGCATGTGATAGCTATGTGATTAACATGATGATTCAGCCTCTATGGAGAGAGACATATGACAAGCATGCTCATTTCTGACGTGGAGCTAATCTGAAGTAAACATTGAATACTGCTTTCTATTCCTCCATCTTGTGACTGTGTAACTCCCTCTCTTGGATATCAGCATGTGAAGGACACTGTTCAGGAACTAGCTGATGCTCTGTGTGTGATGACTACTTCCATTCTGGAGAGGATCACAAACACATGGATCCTGATAGTGAAGATCAAGCCGGTGACGAGTGATTATTGACATTTTTAAGTATTTAGAAAAAGTCCGATTTTTTAGATTTTGAAAAAGACAGAATTTTACGATTTTGAGAAAAAGTCATTTTTTTATAGAAAAAGTCAGAATTTTTAGAAAAAGTCAGATTTATAGAAAAAGTCAGATTTATAGAAAAAGTCAGAAATTGCAAGATTTTCAGAAAAAATACAACATTTTCAGAAAAAACTCAGTATTGTACATGACAGGATGTATGATTACCTACAATAACTGGTATTCCTCCATCTTGTGACTGTGTAACTCCCTCTCTTGGATATCAGCATGTGAAGGACACTGTTCAGGAACTAGTTGATATGTGATGACTACTTCCATTCTGGAGAGGATCACAAATACATGGATCCTGATAGTGAACCTCAAGCCGGTGACCAGTGATATTTTCCTAACACTTACCAAAAAGGCCTTTCCTTGCAGGGTTGACTATCGAGAGGTCGTTGCAGGGGCTTCCTCCGATCACCAGGTCAAATGGTCCCCACTCCTCGATCTATAAGCATAAGTTGACATCAGCAATAAAGAAAGGGTAACAATAAAAATAACATGTAAGAAGAAATAAGTGTTTCCCTTTCATGCTGCATCTACCACTAAATGCATGTGTGTGGTCTGATATGTCCTCACAAGGTTGAACAGTTATTGACTCACATGTCTGCGTGTTACGTTGCGGACGTCTCCCACGTACATGATGCGGCCATGGTGTCGGACCATGCCCACAGTAATGGAGTCCTCACACACCTCGGACGCAACATATTTGTCCACCTGCATCCCCAGATCCCTCAGCACCAGCAGACCTGAAATTACACACACACATAAAAATACACATTCTTGAAAAAGTCTTTACTCGAAAAACAAGCCCTATTTTCGTAAATAAATACATATTTCTGCAGTATGAAGAGGGATAATTCATTTCTGTTACAGTCTCACACACATCTATGGTATCATGCGTACATGCTCATAATGACAATGATGACATGCTGATATTTAGTAGATATAATTTACCATGTTTACCATCGTGGTATAGCTTGCTAACTTTGGCCAATAAGCACTGAACAGCACTGGTGCTTTGGCAAGTACACCAGAGGAAGTTGGGAATTTGGTCATAAAGCAAAGTATTGGACGAAATAAGGTGATGATTAAGTAAGTAAATTAAAAGTCAAAAGTGAATACAATAATTGTTGATGAATTAGAGTCTGGGAAATGGTGGAGCAGCTGAAATCTTCTATTATTAAATAGATTCAACAACAATCAATATAATCGTTAGTTTCTGCTTCTACCTGTGGCAATGCCGTCAAACAGAGAGAGAACTCTGATTGGTTTCCTCTTCTCTGCCGAAACTGGAGGATACAACTTGGCTGGCTCCTAACAGACAACAAGGAAGAAAAGACATTTATGTGAACAAGATTAGATTAACAATTCAGCTTCATTCAAGATGACTATCTGATCTTATGGCAAACAGTCTGGCTGTCAATAATTGATTGTGAACACGTCGGTCTGTTTGGATGTTTTAGCCTTCGTGGATAATTTATGGCTGACGAGCGCTGGAGCAGAAGCCTCTCTGATCCCCAAATATTAATGTTTCCACTTCAACTGAGAAGTGTTTCATCTGATTAGGATAGCGGATATATTAACTTTACAACACCAAAGTGACTTATGGGTGTAATATTGTAGAAAAATAGAGTTAATAAAAAATAAGTCTGAAGTGTAATCTAATGACGCAGAGAGTAACTATTTGTTGTTACTAGTTAATTTGCAGATTTATGTTTCACATTAATGCATCAATAAATAAAATCCCTTCAATGTTATACAGCATTATTCTAAAATGGGCCAGTTTGCATAATCTGTATTTTTCCCTTTGGTGACTTTTAAGAGCTAATACTCTTATTGAAAGGGACCTATGATGCAAAATGCACTTTTTGATGTCTTTTATACATAAATGTGTCCCCGGTGTGTCAGGGAACTCACGCAGCGTCAGAAAATAAAACCCTCTCTCTTTTCCTCCGTATCTAAATCTCTAAAAACGGGGCTACAACGGAGCTGATCCAGATTTGCGTCCGATATGACGTAATATTAGAAATGTGGACCCACGGCCCAATCAGAAACGTTGCTATCAGAAACAATGCCCGACTGTTTTGGATGTAATATGGTCTGTGTTTACATTAGCATCGCTAACACTCAGAGCTAACCTGTACTGGAGAGCATGTGTGTGAAGAAGCAGGAAATAGAAAGGAACTCACCTTGTGGTATAACCGGCAAGAGAGAAAGCCTTTGAGCTCCAAACTGTTTCAGAAATAATCCTTGATAATCCATGATATGGCGTTTCATCACCGCAGCATTTAGTTTAGACAGTAGCTGCCGGGTCCCGCATGAGCTCAGACCCCTCCTTTCTGATTTTTAATCAATTTTTCTTTTTTTTTTAAAGCTTTATACCCAAATCAGCACTTTTGAAACAGGAAGTGAAATAGAGGGATATGAGGCATGGCTAGAATGGGTGATCTGTTTGGTATTTCTGAGCAAAACACTTCATAGACATGTTTTTTATATCTTTTTATATATCTGAGACCTATGCTATTGCCTAAAAATAGCATGATAGGTGACCTTTAAATGAGATATTGTACGCAATATATTGCTAAAACATCTAAATAGATTGCCACAACTCATCTTTACCCCTCTCTCTATGACAAAGATGATATGTATACATTATTATAATCAAAGTTGTTGTAAACTGGGAGACTCACAAAGTCCTGTTCGTGGTTGTTGGCGAAGAAGATCTGCAGTCTGGAAGGCCAGTCGTCCCGTCGCCGTAGCAACCCGTAGGCGCCTTTCGATCCGCACATATAGCAGTTCCAGGGATCTTCTTTAATGGCGACCGCTGCAGAGCCCGTCCCCACCAACAGATCCACACACTCCACGCAGAAACACCTGCACACACACACACAACATGAGACTGGGTTTTCATGCATTGAATGATCATGATTGTGTATTATAATATATATGATATTGATTTATTATTATAATGCAGAATGATAATATTCAGATTTCTTAGATGGTATCGCGCCAAGGGGGTCCCGGACCCATTTCTACTTTTGGGAAATTAAGGGGAACATAATTTAGACTAAATAGACAACCTAAAACACATTTCTGACAAGTAACCTCCCCTAGTGTCAAATATCTGAAAAGTGACATATATGTCACATTGGGCTTTAAAGGTCCCATGTCATGGCCATTTCTACTGATCATAATTCCATTGTTGAGGTCTACTAGAATACATGTATATTGTGCAATTTTCCAAACTCACATTGGCTTCTCATACAGCATCTCTGTATAGTATGTGTATTCACTCTCTGTCCTAAACGGCTTGTTGGAGCTCCTGCCCCCCCCCCCCCCCCTCCCTGTGAGCCCAGTGGCCGTCTGCGAGACAGCGAGACACAGCAAAACCCAGCCCGAAACACACACACACCCGCAGCCTGGCTGGGAGTTTGTGTGTGTGCCCAGGCTGAGTTCCGCGGTGTCTCGCCGACCCCACACCAGTGAGCCAGCTCACACTGTCTGCTCCTCGCAGCAGCGAGCCTCGCAACGTCCCGCCGAGTGTGTGTGTGTGTGTGAGGAAGTCCGTGTTTTACTCGCTACAGGGTGTACTTTGAGAGTTTGTGACTCTGCAGACCGTTTACATGCAGAAAAAGCTACATAACACACAAGGGGACGGGTAATAACCGGAAAAGCATGACATGGGACCTTTAATGGTAAAGTAACTCTTATTTATAACTTAATTAATGAGGATGATTTGTTGGTTAAAATGAGTTTGAACATTCTTTGAATTGAAGAATAAAGAATATATTAACTAAATATAATTGAATCAGCTAAATTAACTGAGCAGATCATAATCATATTTCTGATTATGCATGTGTCACTTTGGGTTTACTGTGAAAGTTTAGGGTTAAAGTCCCGATGTGACACAGCGATATTTATCTCATTTGTTTCATATCAATTTGATCAAGAAATGTTTCCACAACAGGTTAAATGTAATAAAGGACATGTTATGTAATCATTTTAATTCTTAAATGGCTTGAATTTTACCTTTAGCAACAAAAAAAAGCTTTTGAAAAGTAGCTAGTTCGGTCACATGTGTTAGCCTGGCACATGGACATCTTGGACATGTTGTCATGGGAACACAAAATCACATGACCTGGCCCAGAACCCAGCAGACTGTTCACGTTGTGTCACTGAGGGACTTCATGAGATAAAATTAAGGCTAAAGCTGTCTAAGGAACTTTCCAGAACATTTAAATGTCATGTGACACCCGTGTGATGGTGGGTCCTTATGGTCACTGTGGCTACCAAATTATGGTTTGATAATGTTTTCAAAGTAGTTGAACTATTTTATGCATTAAACGTATGCATAAAAAGTATGTTTATAGTCCAAGATTGCACGCTACTTGTACTTTACTTGAGTATTTCCAATGTAGGCTACAGTACTTTATACAGGTTATTACATTAATATGAAGTATTTATCTACCCGGCAGTATATGAAGTAGTTTAAATCACACAAACCTTTACCAGCTGTAAAAATTGTGACGCTTACAGATTATTACATCACTAATTATCCTACGATGACATTTATACATTTATAGATATATGTTATGATGTAATTGGCCATTCTGCATAATGTTTACTTTTGGTACTTCAAGTGTATTTTTCTTCCACCACAGCATGGCTAAATATCTGCTGTGTTGAGCTGATGAGGTCACAGCCTGGATGCCAAAATAAACTTTATATTCACAAAAATAAATCTGCTCCACATGTGTTGTCTGATTTAATTACAGATGAAACAAGGGGCCATTTATCATCTTTGACATTTATGGGTAAATTGTTTCTGTCGATGTGAAATAAACACCTGAACTTTTGAAAGAACATCCATAACATTCATCTGTTTGCAATTTATATATATCAATATTCCAATTACTTGTATATAGACTATTCTGCACTATTTGTATTATATTCTATTTCTATTCGAATCTGGGTGTGACCCTAGATAACAACCTGTCCTTCACTGCAAACATTGCTGCTACAACCCGCTGCTGCAGATACACGCTTTACAACATCAGGAGGATACGTCCCCAGCTGACACAGAAAGCGACGCAGCTTCTGGTCCAGGCTCTCGTCATCTCACGCCTAGACTACTGCAACTCCCTCCTGGCTGGTCTACCTGCATGTGCCATCCGACCTCTGCAGCTCATCCAGAATGCAGCGGCTCGTCTGGTCTTCAACCTTCCTAAATGTTCCCACTCCGCTCCTCCGCTCCCTTCACTGGCTTCCAGTAACTGCTAGAATCCACTTCAAGACACTGGTACTTGCGTACCATGCTGCGAATGGATCTGGCCCTTCCTACATCCAGGACACGGTTAAACCGTACACCCCAGCACGTGCACTCCGCTCTGCATCAGCCAAACAGCTCGTTGCACCCTCGCTGCGAGGGGGACCCGAGTTCCCATCAGCAAAAACACGTGGGTTTGCTATCCTGGCTCCAAGATGGTGGAATGAGCTCCCCATTGACATCAGGACAGCAGAAAGCTTACACATCTTCCGGCGCAGACTGAAAACTCATCTCTTTCGACTCCACTTCGAGCGATAGAATTACTAACAGAGCACTTATATACTAATAAAGGACTGGCTTATCTAAAGCCAGTTGAGTAGCACTTGAAATGTTTGGCTCTATGAAACCTGATGTACTTATATGATTCTGTTTTCTTCAAGGTTGTGTCTTCCTGGTCGAATGTACTTATTGTAAGTCGCTTTGGATAAAAGCGTCAGCTAAATGCAATGTAATTTAATTTAATTTACTTGCACTATTATCTGTTTTATTGTGTTGCACTGTTTTCATTGTCATAACAACACTGTAGCTAGCTATGCACACATCATGACAATAAAAGCCTTGAATCTTGAACCTTCTCCTGGATGTATGAATACACACACACAGTGTGTACTGACCTGCAGCAGTTGTTGTTTCCACACATGAGCACCTCTCTTCCTGCGCAGCAGATGGTGCAGTAGGACTGGTAGCCGTCGTCGTCGTACTGGTACGCGCACTCCAGGAACGAGTTCTGCCCGGCAACAACACAGGGTCAGGAGAGAGGGAGAGAGGGAGAGAAAGGGAGAGAGGGAGGGAGTCTTTGTTGTCAGCCATTATGACGTCTTGGATTTCCACCGTTTCCATGTGTCTGTGTAACATCTCAACACATTCACTCACACAAAGTCTAAATGTCCCAATTGAAACAAATCACAATTATTGATTTCCCGGCCATTACAGCATTACATCACACATTATGTTACATCAGACTTTAAATCAAGAAATCTCCCTTGATAATTTCAGTTTTATAACTTTTTCCACACGATTAACCCCTTCTCTTTGCCCTATGGGACTTATAAATGCTATATTTCGGGTTTTCTGCACAATTCTTATAAAGCATCTAAATCAGGGATGGGCAAATGGCGGCTGTCCACTAGACTCCTAGTTACGTCGCGATCTGCGTACATGATTTCGTTCGGCAGCTAAATAGCGCGAAATAATCTGTGACGCGTTTGTGTATATTGTGTTTGTTTCCCAGAGAAACCCTCACAAGAAACACCAGCTGTTGTTATGTCTGCTGTGACGTTAAGTTGCCGCTTGTAATTATGCCGTTACAAGCTTCAAAGTTGTATTTATCATCTGAATTTGGTGAAACAAGTTTAATATTCTAACAACCAAGACTTTGTTTATTTGAAATCAGATGAAAACAAACTGTCACGGACCCTGCCGTGTTATCTATAAATAATAAATTCTCTTCGATTTACACACGGCATCTAGTGCACGTCTGTCCGTCCTGGGAGAGGGATCCCTCCTCTGTTGCTCTCCCTGAGGTTTCTCCCATGTTCCCCTTAAACTGTGGGTTTTCTCTGGAAGTTTTTCCTTGTATGATGTGAGGGTCTAAGGACAGAGGGTCTAAGGACAGAGGGTCTAAGGACAGAGGGTCTAAGGACAGAGGGTGTCGTTTTTCTCATACTGATATTCTGAACAATCTGTGCTGTTGTATTTGCTGTAAAGTGTCTCTACTGTAGGCTATTTTTATTATATGTACAGCACTTTGGCTCGACCAAAAATCGTTTATAAATGTGCTATATAAATAAAACTTGATTTGATTTGATCTATGATTACTATACGCTTTTCATTCATAATTTCAGCGGGAGGGAGGGGGAGCGGCACTGAGGAACAGCAGAGTGCGGGTTGACAGGTGTCAGTGTTGACATTCTCCTTATTGTGCCTCAGCAGAGACGGGCTACAAGCGTCTTATGTTCAAGTTAGACAACTAATGTCTGGGTTAGTGTTCATGACTTCATGTTTATGTCATCTTAATTGTTAATCTCAATGCACACACATTTTCCGTGCTTTTCCAATAGTTTAAAATAGTTTTTATTCCACTGTTAAATAACCTGTTCAATACAAACATGCCACTATATATTTATTTGTTTAGTGAGCTTATTAGAGGATGTTCCCTGAAAGATTGTAAAATGTCAATGAAGATGTCAGACTTAGTATATTTGTTAATAATTACATACAATACATGGAATTTGTGTGTGTGTGTGTGTGTGTGTGTGTGTGTGTGTGTGTGTGTGTGTGTGTTCCAAGTGAATCTGCAGCCCCCTGGTGGCCAGTACATCAATTATGTGGCCCCCACCACCGTCCAAGTTGCCCATCCCTGATCTAAATTAATCTTGTTTCTAAGAATGAATATGTCGTAGTTGGGGTGTAGACGGATGTTGGTTGAATACATTTAACTAAAGAAAAGTACAATGAAATAATATATCTTTTTTTCTTACTTTGCAGCCCTGACACATGGCTCCTCCGAACAGAGGATGCTCGATGCTGACGTTGAGGCTTCCACAGGAGATGCACATATCTGAACACAGACAACATCACATTGTTATACTCAACTTTTTGTTTTGCCTTTGATTACATTAATGTAAGTATGTAAGTATGAGAACAATCTGAAACCTTACCGTCTATGTTCCTGGTTTTCTGTTTGACCTCACATATGAGTCTCTCTGGAACAACATAAGAAAACATCAATTTTGAATAAGAAAACATGCAGACAGTTCATAAATAAGGCAATCATTTCTATACAGAATCATGCAAAAGACTGTTAACATATCATATATTAATAAAAACATAATTACATTTTGAGTTCAATTATGTATCTTTGTCAAAACAGAACAATTCTGATATATTATATATATGTTTTTCTGTAGGAAAACTATGAAAAGAAAAAAAATGTATAACCACCGGCATTTTTTAAAGATGTTCTCTGAGTTAACTCATCTACTTCTAAAATAACCATACAGAGAGGTTGTGAATTCATTTAAGCTTACCTCTGGTCCCTTCGTCGATCACCTCTCTGATCTTTAGTTTTTCCGCTGCGTTTTTGCGTGGTTTCTTGGTGGGCGGAGGCGTGTACGCGGCCTCCGGCTCCGTCCACATCTCTGGGAAGACGGGGACTTCCTTACATGGATTCTGTTCCTCTGCGGGGGATACAGGAACACAATGAACATCGTATTAAAGGTCACCTATTATGCAAAATCCACTTCTGCATGTCTCTTCTACATCAACATGTGTCCCCTCTTCTTCATGTCTCTTATACATCAACATGTGTCCCCTCTTCTTCATGTCTCTTATACATCAACATGTGTCCCCTCTTCTTCATGTCTCTTCTACATCAACATGTGTCCCCTCTTCTCCAAGTCTCTTCTACATCAACATGTGTCCCCTCTTCTTCATGTCTCTTCTACATCAACATGTGTCCCCTCTTCTTCATGTCTCTTCTACATCAACATGTGTCCCCTCTTCTCCATGTCTCTTCTACATCAACATGTGTCCCCTCTTCTTCATGTCTCTTCTACATCAACATGTGTCCCCTCTTCTTCATGTCTCTTCTACATCAACATGTGTCCCCTCTTCTTCATGTCTCTTCTACATCAACATGTGTCCCCTCTTCTTCATGTCTCTTCTACATCAACATGTGTCCCCTCTTCTTCATGTCTCTTCTACATCAACATGTGTCCCCTCTTCTTCATGTCTCTTCTACATCAACATGTGTCCCCTCTGTGTAAAGAGATTCTGAAAGTTTCAGGAACAAAGATTCTCTCTCTTTTTGATCCATTTCTATAAAAACCCCTTTGAAAATGAGCTGATCAGATTTTGGCCACTTTATGATGTCATAACGATGTTTTGTCTCGTGTAACCATCAGCCAATCAGCAACCAAGGTAACCCCCCCCCCACCTTATCACCTGAATGTCCTCCTAGAGCACCATTGAGTTCTTTGTAACCAAATGTCTCTCAGAGGGGCGTGGGGAGGGGCTCCTTATTTTCATCTAAAGTAACAGACAGAGAATCAGCACTTTGGAAACAGGGCTGAAACAGAGGGGATTATGGGTAATGCTGCAATGATCTGTTGGGTGTTTGGAGCCAAACCCTTCAGAGACATGTTCTGTATATATCTGAGACCTATAATGTATTGATGAAAAACAGTATAATAAGGGACCTTTAAGTGTATAAGATGCTTCACACAAAGTGTTGGATTGTTTACGGGCAAGGCGTGCAAAAGAGAGACAGTTTGCAGGATTAAAACGTCTCTTTTAGGTTTATTTGGTGCAACACGTTGGATCTACTCCAGGAAAGAGTGTGCATCTCCCTCTGAACAATATCATGTTCCCCCTCTCCCTAACACAGCCACCATGCCTTTGCCTTTAAAGCTTTAGCATCAACCTTTGTCTCCCCCCTCTGGCAGCGAGAGTTATAACACAATGGGAGAGACGATAGTGACGTAACAGCAGCTAAGGGTATGGAGGAAACTACCTAGAATAACATTTTAGCAATCATAGGAACAATTTAAGCTAAAAGACTTGCACGGGAAGATTTGAAATGAGGCATCTATCCTTGATGTTGTATTAGTGGCTGTGTGTTATTGCGTAAAAAAGGTATATTTGTATATAGCACTTTACAAGACCAATCCTATGTGAGGGTTTAATATTTAAATGAAAAATAATTCAGTGTATATTTTGGAAAATATATCATATGGAATTAGAAACCAAAGACACATAGATTATAATAGATGGAGAAAATTGATTGATTATACCTGCTGACTATACGTCAAGTATGTATGTTTATGTATATAAGTATGTGTCTATCTATATAAGAACATGAGAATAGGTATTTATATATTTTTTAAATCATCCCCCTGTTTCCGACCCTTAACGAATTATGAATTGAAGCAAGGGGAAGTGCCTGGAAACAATTATAAGGACATTTCCTTTGCCTAAAACACATGAAAGACCACTGTGTCAAAAAATGATCCGTATGAATGATATATCAAAGGAGATGTGTGTGTTTACCCTCTGGAGGCTCCAGTGATGACGGGCCGTTGGGCAGGAAGCCGGTCATGGCCCACTCTATCATCTGTCGGGTCTGAGTCTCCAACCCCTCCGCATCTTCGCTCGTATCACAGGAGGGAACGGGCCGCCCCGCACGCACACTGCCCACCTACACACACAATACACACAGAGAGGGAAAGACATGGGATAATAAGAAGGATAAATATGGAAATGATGACTGAACTTGAAGTATCAAAGGCAAATTTATTTATATAGCACCTTTTAACACAAGGCAATTCAAAGTGCTTTTACAGAAATGAAAGACATTAAAAAACATATTATGAAATGGCATTTAAAAACACTCATTTAAAAGCAAAGATAATAAAACATGAATAACAAAGGTACATGAATTAAAGTGAGGTACACACATCTGAAATGTTGAGGTCTGACTCTCAATCGTTGCTAACTTTGTAGCAGAAATAGTTTTCTTTGACCTCACGTTCTTTCTACTTTCTACTTTCTTACTCAAAGTACAAAATCTTTCACCGCTTGTTTATAATGTTAAAAAGGTTTGAGTGAATAACGACTCCGTACGACTCCGTAGAGAAGACAATGACCATGTGTTCTGAATTACTTAGAAAAACAAAAGTAAGCACTGCTGGATCGAAGTGTATCCCACAGAGATGTACACACATGTTCCCACTTAAAAACATAGGGCAGAGCTACAAGAAAACAACACCTCCAAAAATGCAGAGCTTGTTACATAAAAAGGAAGTAGGAGCAGTCAAATGTGAACTTTCACTCTGCACATTTCTATTTTGGTCTTTTAGATGTTCATTTGATCTATGAAGGAAACACATAAGTATAGCTACATGATTTATCTCAAACCTGACTTCAGAAATAACCCTGAAATGCACTAACATTTTTGTTTTTTTTACCTGCAGAGCCTCGAAAATGGCTTTCCGGTACATGGACTGTTTGTTGTAGGAGGGTTGGTGGAAGGCAGATGAGAAGGAGCTCAGAAGCATGAGCTTCTCCACACACACCTGCAAAACAAACACATCATGAGGTCCTGGAAATCCTTCACTAAGGTCATTTTGTTTGCATCGGTAACAATATGTATTTTAAGGAAAGATGTCTCATCAAGGCACGGGACTTTAGGTAAGTAAGAGGAATTCATATAACATTTAAAATAGGAGAAAATATGGAACTAGTATAAACTATTACTAAATAAAAAGCAGATAAATGTTAACCAGTATCATAACAAATTCTTTAGGAGTATCTGACTTATGGTTTCTAATTAAGCAATAGCTCACGACAGGCCGTGGTATATGGTCATTATATCACAGTTAAGGGGCGTGGTTCGGCCCGACGCGAAGCGGAGAAGTAACAGGGAAGAAACCCCGTTACTTCTCCGCTGTTTTCTTGTCCCAGTTTGCTTTTCAGCCCAACTGTATACAGTTAAATCGACCGGACTTCTTTCTGCAGATGTGAGCGTCCTTAACAACGGTCAATAAGTCCTTGCTGCACATTATCCCTTACAGTACATGTTTCCATCTTAAGCTTTGTTAGTTAGTTAGTTTCGTAACGGACGTAATGTAACAGTTGAAACGGTTGTAGCTTTTCTCAGACGCGGAGGGATACTGACTTGTTGTGAAAAGTAACTACAATTCTACCCGTGATATACGCTCATTATATCACGGCTAAGAACCAATCAGATTGCTTGATTTGAGTTGTCCGGTTTATAAAATCACATTAGATATCAGAATAAATAAATTAGATATTAGAATAAATCACACGAATGCTTTGACTGAAAGTGTTTTCTGGTGTCTATAAAAGCATTAAATTAGAAAAGTGGAGCTCAGGGTGTTGAAGACATTAAGCTTTGGCATTTTAGCTATGACAAACATATTCTCTTTTTCTCTCTTTTTCTACTGGGGATTAAACCCCACTGTGCACCAGTAATCAAATCATTTTATTCCAAAGGTTTCCTCACCACAGAGAACTTTCCGTCTCCGAACCACATGACCCAGCGAGTGCCGTCTGCAGCTCTGCTCCGGCCGCTCATCCACCAGGACACGATCCTGCCGGGCCACCAGGAGAAACCCCGCAGCTTCCCGAACACCAAGACACCGATTCCAAAACCCCGGCCATCCTGTCAGCGCAGAACATAAGACCAGTTAAAAACAGAACTCGTGATATAAGATACTATAGGTAGCATTCTCTAGTATACATAATTATAGACTCAAATCTAAAGTATGGTTTCAAAAGTAAGTCAGTGGAGACAGTTTCAACACTGCTACATACGAAAACTCTTTATCTCAATCTCAATCTTTATTTAAAACAACCTCAGTTGACCAAAGTGCTGTACAGGGAATAAATGCAATATCAAATAACACAATGGGAGTAAAATAATAAAACAATAATTAAAATCTTATTAAAAAGCACAATAACTAACGTATAAAAACACATACAAATGTAAAAATGTTATGTTCAACTAGTATTAAAATGTACACTGAATGTTAGTCTGTTTAATAAAATAAAGGAAATGTTTATTTCAAAGCTTGTTTGGAAAATTCATTATAAATCCTGACATGTTATTAAGGATCCCAGACTAAAAGGTTTTGCCATTTTCGACATTGTTAAAAATATTTATTTAGTATTTGAAAAGTTTCAGAACAAACACAAAGTGGATATTAACCCATAAGAACCCGGACCCATTTCTACTTTTGGGAAAATTAAGGGGAACATAATTTAGACTAAATAGACCACCTAGAACATATTTCTGACAAGAACCCCCCCTCGTGTCAAATATCTGAAATGTGACTTATATGTCAAATTGGGCTTTAATGGTAAAATAACTCTTATTTATAACTTAATTAATGAGGATGATTTTTTGGTTTAAATTAGTTTGAACATTCTTTGAATTGAAGAATAAAGAATATATTAACTCAATATAATTGAATCAGCTAAATTAACTAAGCAAATCATAATCATATTTCTGATTGTGCATATATGTCACTGTGAAAGTTTAGGGTTAAAGTCCCGATGTGACACAGCGATATTTATCTCATTTGTTTCATATCAATTTGATCAAGAAATGAAACAGGTTAAATGTAATAAAGGACATGTTATGTAATCATTTTAATTCTTAAATGGCTTGAATTTTACCTTTAGCAACAAAAAAAAGCTTTTGAAAAGTAGCAAGTTCCGTCATATGTGTTAGTCTGGCACATCTTGACAAAATCACATGACCTGGCCCAGGACCCAGCAGACTGTTCAGGGTGTGTCACTGAGGGACTTCATGAGATAAAATAAAGGCAAAAGCTGTATAAGGAACTTTCCAGAACATTTAAAGATCATGTGACACCCGTGTCACGGTGGGTCCTTATGGGTTAAGCACGATCTCATACTGTCGAGACGAAAGTCAAAAAGTAATATCTGTGAAAAACGGACTAATAAATAATGTGTTTTCATTTAGAGTATTATTATTATTATTATAGTATTGTTCAATACCAGGAGAGGGTATTTGTTTTATTTTGGATAGCTTAGGCTACTTTTCATAAGCGAGCTGTAGAAAAAATATGAATGCCGCTTCCGGCAACACGGCTACAAAAGGGGTGTAGTTTGTGATGGCCGGTCTCTTGTTCTCAAAGCCACGGAGAGAGAACCAGGCGACAGTGTGTGTGTGTGTGTGTGTGTGTGTGTGTGTGTGTGTGTGTGTGTGTGTGTGTGTGTGTGTGTGTGTGTGTGTGTGTGTGTGTGTGTGTGTGTGTGTGTGTGTGTGTGTGTGTGTGTGTGTGTGTGTGTGTGTGTGTGTGAGGCTCCGGAGACGCCGTTGGTATGTTTATTGTGTTTATGTACTTGATCTGTTGCTGCACTTTGCGAGAGTGCTGTTGCGCAATCAACTGTTTTTTTTACGCAGCGCGGTCTGCCTGTGCCCCGTTTGTTTTCTGTGCAATTTAGACAGCGCAGGTGTTCAGATGAGGTTTTCTCTGGTGCTTGTTTCCAAGTGGAGATAAACACTCCTATTAATTCATTTAAGTTAATGATGTGGTTTTAAAGTAACAATGTATCCTTTTTAATTAAAACATAGTTTGTGGTGCTATTATTATTATTATTATTGAGGATGCAGTGAGACCTGAAAAATGTTTGTAATTTGTGTAGCATGTGAGCTAACTTTTGTTTGTCCTTTGTGTTTTGAAGGTTTTCAACCTGATCAATTCTTGGAGCTGTCTTGAATAAATAAAGACAACAAGAACGAATTTGAGTTGTTGAGTTGTGCTCTGTTGCCCTCTAGCCTATCAAGTCAGGCTAAATCACTGGTACAGGCCAAAAACCTGAAGGACTTGACAGTTGAAAACCAAGCGGAGCAGCCTGGGCCAGAGGATAAAAGGCTTCAGACGTCCAGAGAAAGCTGTTGACGCAGAGAAGGGAAACTGTGGATTTCCATTAGCTCAAAATGGCGGAAGAAATCCTGGGGAAGACGGTTAAAGAGCTCAAGAAAGCAAGAACAAGTGCAAAAAGCAACTTCACCAGGCAGGCCAACTACCTCAACAGAGAAGCAGGTAGAATGGTCGAAGCAGAGCTAAGGGAGGAATTCACCAAGCTGAAAGAGGGATTAAAAAAGGTTCTTGAAGCAAATGAGGACTGCATGGCTGGGTTGCAGGCAGATGCTCAAAAGGCCGAAGGAAAGGAAGAAGAAGCTCTTGCAAAGCGGGAAGAGGCCGACGTTGAAAGGACTGCAGAGGAGGCTGAAGCCAGAATGGAAGAGGTAGGAGGCCTTATTCAAGATAACCTGTGGTCCAGATATGGCCGATAGGAGCTCATCACTGCAATTGAAGAAGCAGAAGAAGCCAGTGAACAAGCTGGGAATGTGCCTGTGGAGGGAACCAACCTGGAAGGCTACGGGGTGCTCCTGACCATTCTAGAGAGGCGGATGAAGGAGGCCACCAGAGTGATGGCAGCTTGGGAGTGCTGGATACCCATGATGGCGAAATCAGATCTAGCTGGCAGAGTCAAGGACCTCAAAGCAATAAGGAATAGACTTGAGATGAGGCAAGTTGAATTTGTCAACTCACGCAGGATTGCAGCGGAGGAACTGGAAGCAGAAGCGCCAGGTAGAAGGGGAGGACTGCCATCACCTGCAATACCAGTAGTGAGGATTAAGCCCACAAGTCTTCCCATCTTCTATGGCTGCAGAAGAGAATACCACAGATGGAGGAAAGACTGGGAAAGCCTGCAAAGACAGGGGGAGCCATCTGGATCTTCTGAAGCTAAGAAAATTCATCTTCTAGACAGTGTGGATGACAAGATTTCAAAGGAACTAAGACTCTCAACCTACAACACTGCTGAAGACATGTTCAGGATAATGGACAACAGGTATGGAAATAAGTCAACTATTGCCATAGAAATCTTAGAAGAACTGGAGAGAATCCCTTATGTGAAAGGAAACCAGCCAAGAAAGGTGATTGAGCTGATACAGCATGTGGAAAAAGCCCTTGCAGACCTCACAGAGCTGGGAAACTCAGGCGCCATGAAGAACCCACTCATAATCAAGTCCATAGAGAGCAAGTTACCTGACTTTGTGAAGAGAGATTGGCTGGTCTTCATGGTGGATCCAAACAATAATGCGACACCAGACAACCACTTCGACATGCTACTTAGATTTCTAAAAAAGCAGGAAGAGATTCTGGAGAGGCTGGAACAGCTAAGGATCGGTGATAGAACTGACAGACAAGACCATCCAGACAGGAGGTATGAGAAGAAATATGCTTCCACAAGATCTGCAGAGAAGGCCGAGCATGAAGGAGTGTGTATTGTGTGTGGAGATGAGAGACACTATGACAAGATATTCTTCTGCAGGAAGTTCAAAGGGCTAACTGTGCCTGAGAAGAAAGCTGTTCTAAAGAAGCTAGGAGCATGCAGAAAGTGTCTTGATGTCATGAGGAAGGAGGATATTGCAGAGACAATTACCTGTGCAGGAACAAAGACTGTAAAAAAGGAGACACCTCAGATCACCATTTCTTTCTGTGTCCACAAGGGGGAAGCAAAGTGCCCTTTGAAGAGAGGAGAGGAAGAGACTGGAGAAGTAAGAGCAAACTCACAGAGGAGCAGGATACATTCTTGGCTGAGCATTCCCCAGAGCGTGCAGGAAGGTGCAGGAAAGCCTTTACCAACCAAACAGCAGTTACAGGCAGAGCTGGAGGACAGTCAAGGCTTTTGGACAGGGAAATCCCTGTCATCATGATGCTGATGGAGGTCACGGCAAATGCAGGGCAGAAGATTGGGACTCTAGTGGACCTTGCCTCAGACACAAATTACATCACCCATAAGGCTGCTGACAGGCTGAGGTTGCAAGGTGAAAAAATAACTCTGATTGTGTAGGAGGAATGACCATCAAGGTGAACACAAAAAGATACCTCCTTAGGGTGAGCGTCAAGACTCCTAAAGGGACAGAGAAGGCACATGAACTTGTCTGCTATGGCCTCAGGGAGATCGCCAAAGTGCATAGAGTCATCAGTCCTGAAAAACTGCAGAAGTTCTTCCCAGAGGTCAAGCCCGAAGAATTAAAGAGGCCAGAAGAAGTTGAGCTCCTCATAAGCCACAGGGAAGGAAGACTTGCTCCACAAAGAGTGGAGGTGGTTGGAGACCTTGTTTTGTGGGAAAGTCCACTGGGAAAAACAGTAGGCGGAGCACACCCAGAACTGTTTGAGGAGATTGAGGTGGCGGCACACAGGTCCAACGCACACTTTGCTCGCTCCATGAGAACAGCTGCAGTCAGGTATGAGGAGATAAAGCTTCCAAAAGACAAACCAGCACAGTTGCAGAAGGAAGATATGATTGAAGTAAAGGTCACAGCTGCAACTAATCGTGAGTTCCTGGAATGGTGGAAGTGGGACAGCATTGGAGCAGCCAGTGAGCCTAAGTGTGGAGGATGTCGGTGTGGAAATTGCCAACCAGGAGGGAAAGAAATGACCCTGGCGGAGGAGAGAGAGCTGGATACAATAAAGGCAGGCCTAACCTACGTCAGGCAGGATTCTCATATTGCATCACCGCACTGGGACGCAAAATATCTCTGGACTGAAGACCCCACTTCTCTCCCCAACAACAAACGTGCTCTGGAGGCCACAGTCCTGAAGACAGGAAAACAGCTGAAGCGGGAGCCTGAGGGGCAAGCTGTAGATAAAGCCCAAGTGCACAAAATGGTCGAAAGAGCTGGTGGCTTATGCCTCAAACCATGGGTCCGGTCTGGTCAAAGTGGGAGGCAAGAAACTGCAGCAGCGCTCCTGGGAGGAGAAAAAGCAACAGCTGCAAGTAAAACTCTCATCCTTCCAAATCAGATGAGAGAGGAGGACAACAAAGCCCTGGGAATTGGGTACAAAGTGGAGAAGTGGCCAATAAGATCAGCTGGAGAGGTGGCAGCGCAAGCCAGAGAGAGTGTGGACAAGCTCCAGAGGAAGGCATTCTCAGCAGCCATAACAAGAGCTCAAGCCGAGAGAAATCAGAGAGATGGCCAAGAAGACCCACAGGGAAACAGAAAAAGGAAGAGCCAATGGGAGAAACCTAGAGCCGATCAGACGCCTACCAGAAATCTCACAGGAAAGACAGTGAAGGATCCTGTGGAGGTGAAAAGATTCTGCAGCCTTCAAAAACGTGTCGGGGTCATAGCCTGGGTACGGAGAGCTGCAAAAAAGTGGCTGGAGATTAAGGACCAGCCTAGGGCAGAATCAAAGTTGGAAGTAATATGGCACACAAGGAATCGAGATGTAGCAGTGGGAGATGTGGTGTGGCTGGCTGACCAAAATGCCCTGAGAGGACATTACAAACTGGCCAGAGTGGTCAGTGTAAATACTGATGGAAAAGGCATCGTAAGGGATGTAAATGTGAGAACCTCTCCCAGCTACCCAGTCTCAGTTATGAAGAATAAAGTCTGTGGAGGGTACAAGGGACATCCAAGCAGGATCCCTGCCACTATTCTTCATAGAGATGTCAGGCGCCTTGTCATCTTACTTCCTGTGGAAGAACAGGTGTGATTTGAAGGTGAATAATTGGTGTGAGCTCCTTGGGTTAGAAACCAGGAGCTCAAGTGGGAGGTGTCGAGACGAAAGTCAAAAAGTAATATCTGTGAAAAACGGACTAATAAATAATGTGTTTTCATTTAGAGTATTATTATTATTATTATAGTATTGTTCAATACCAGGAGAGGGTATTTGTTTTATTTTGGATAGCTTAGGCTACTTTTCATAAGCGAGCTGTAGAAAAAATATGAATGCCGCTTCCGGCAACACGGCTACAAAAGGAGTGTAGTTTGTGTTGGCCGGTCTCTTGTTCTCAAAGCCACGGAGAGAGAACCAGGCGACAGTGTGTGTGTGTGTGTGAGGCTCCGGAGACGCCGTTGGTATGTTTATTGTGTTTATGTACTTGATCTGCTGCTGCACTTTGCGAGAGTGCTGTTGCGCAATCAACTGTTTTTTTACGCAGCGCGGTCTGCCTGTGCCCCGTTTGTTTTCTGTGCAATTTAGACAGCGCAGGTGTTCAGATGAGGTTTTCTCTGGTGCTTGTTTCCAAGTGGAGATAAACACTCCTATTAATTCATTTAAGTTAATGATGGGGTTTAAAGGAACAATTTATCCTTTTTAATTAAAACATAGTTTGTGGTGTTATTATTATTATTATTATTGAGGATGCAGTGAGACCTGAAAAATGTTTGTAATTTGTGTAGCATGTGAGCTAACTTTTGTTTGTCCTTTGTGTTTTGAAGGTTTTCAGATGTATAATTATGCTATTATCAATTAAAGTCAAGCAGTGAAAAAATGTTATTTCTATGAAACGATTTATTTTTCTTCTTGTGTGCATGATAACAACTTAACGGCACTAATTCATACATTTTATTTTAAATTAAATATTGTGGGACACGAAGGTTTAGACATTTTTATTTTGTATCCGGCTAACTCTTATGCATTTTAATATTATTGTAACATGTACATATGCATCTTATATTATTGTAACATGTTCATATGCATCTTATATTATTGTAACATGTTCATATGCATCTTATATTATTGTTACATGTTCATATGCATCTTATATTATTGTAACATGTTCATATGCATCTTATATTATTGTAACATGTTCATATGCATCTTATATTATTGTAACATGTTCATATGCATCTTATATTGTTGTAATAGGTTAATATGTTCCATGTCCTAATTGGGGACGTACAGTATTTAGTTTAAAAAGTCCTGTATGAATATCTATTAATATTAATCTCTCACCTGGTACTCCATCTCTCGAGGCGTGGCCCGCTCCACCCTGTTGCCGGGCTCTGGCGTCACGGCAACTGTTGGCGAGGCGGGGGCGGTGTGTTGTTGTGAAGGGGGCGGGGCCGGGCTTGATGGCCCCTCCTCTTTCTGAAAGATGGCTTCTGATTGGGCGTCCATTATGTTCATCTCTGCCTCTATGTACGCCCGACGCTCCGCCTGTAACGGAAGATCAGACACATCTTGTTTCATTTTTGAATTTTACAAAGTGTATGTTTATCGCAGTCACATATACACATTTAGATTACAAAATATATAAATTAAGGATCTGTTATGTCCATATTTACTAACAAATATTAACATAAGCTTAAAATGTGTGAAGATTTGGAAATCAATCAATTCATTGATTTCCAAAGACACATTTGGTAAAGTCAAAGTTAAATGCTCCACCAAAAAACGATATGCTATGTTTATTGTTGTAACTTTTAGTCTTGCATAATGTTATTTATTACTTTATCTTGAAGCACTTTGGGAATGCATGTTTGAATGAAATGTGCTATTTGAATAAATAAACTTGAGGTATGTTTTTATATACAGGGTATATGCAGGAATCCTGAAGTCAAATGTAATACCTTTTAAGACCCTTTCCATACATTTTAAGACCTCATCGCCACTTGGAGTTCTAACCGGTTACCTTGGCGACACACTTTACCCCACATTGACTATATACAGTATTGATTGTCCTTCCTCCTTATCTTCCAACCATTTGGACGCAGACTTGCATTTCCCCATAACGATGTTGTTTAACAACCGGTGTAAACGGACCTTCGCGCGCTATCAAGCAGTGAGCGTGCGATGTCCTGTTCAGATGACGTCAAACCCAACGGGATGCCATCAATAAACTACACAGAATCACACTACACACCTACGCAATGATTACATTCAGGCAGACTGTAGAATACAACCTCTTTGGACCATTTATATACTTATTGAAAACAAGCTGCAAAATGTAATACTTGGAAAATGCCGTTGAATACTTTTTAATAGCCTTAATTTTCTCTAAATTGATTTATCAACTTTTAATACTTTTTAAGACCCCGCGGACATCCTGATATAAGAGGCAATTTAGCAAAACATTATCATCCAATATATATGTGTTAAAAATGAGTTACAGGCAAAGTTTCAACACTTAACACTTCAAGGTTCAAGGCTTGTATTGGTCATACGAACATAGCTACAGTGTAGTTATGACGATGAAAATCTTAGGTCACAGGCTCCTCCAACAGTGCAACACAAAACTGTTGTTTGTTAAACCTATTATACCAGCTTCAATGTGTCAAAAGGCATTGTCTCCTCATGTGTGTTTCCTTAAAGTCTCTCATCTCTCATAAGCGTTTTGCTTTATTATTCATGTTGGTGCATGCACAGACACCGTTTTTTGAGGTCCTGTATAATTGTAGTTTTATGTGGCTGCTTCCAGCTGATGGTGGCTGCTCTACATCAAGGCCTCGTTGCCCCCGGCTGCAGGAACAATCCTCTAAGTGTTCCTCTAAACAGGAAGTGAGTGGGGAGATAGGGTGCGGCGGGAGGCAGTTCAACGGGTTCAGGAGAGGCAGAAAAGAGAGAGGGAGGGATTATGTTTTAAAACTGAGGAATAAAATACAGAGGGAATTCAAAGTGGAGCATGTTTACAGAGAGAGAAGCCAGAAACAATAGTGCCACGCTACAAAAGCTGATGTGTTTTATTTAAAATAGAGAGAAGTATTTTACTCAAGAAGAAGCAAAGTTACTCTAAAAATACTCCATTACAAGCAAAAGTCCTGCTTTAAGTACAAAAGTATTAAAAAAACGGAATGTAATGTGGGGAATAGTTTGGAATAAATAAACTACACAGAATCACACTACACACCTACGCAATGATTACATTCAGGCAGACTGTAGAACACAACCTCTTTGGACACTTTATATACTTATTGAAAACAAGCTACAACATTTAATACCTTGGAAAATGCCGTTTAATACTTTTTAATAGCCTTAATTTCCGCTAAATTGATTGATCAACTTTTAATACTGTTTAAGACCCCGCGGACACCCTGTATAGCCACCAGGAATCAAAGCTGAAAGTCACTTAACTATTATTATTTGTTTGACTGATAAGCAATATCTGGAGAGTCTATGAAGAAAGAAAACAGCAGCTGTGTTCGCTCGGTTTCAGATGAGACAACTTTAAAAAAATAATCACAACCTCATTCCTTAGAAAGCAAGAATCTCACTGTGGCCCAGGTTTAAAAAATCCCACGACTCCTGCACAGCATTTCCATGACCTAAAAACATTCTTCTCCTTTTAACTGCAGGAAACAACTTGGTTTCCACTCCACAAAACCCAAATATAATCTAATAAATGTGTGAAACAATTCCCAAACATCACAGAAAGGAAGAAGAAGAGGAGGAGGAGGAGGAGGAGGAGGAGGAGGAGGAGGAGGAGGAGGAGGAGGAGGAGGAGGAGGGATGACGACATCAATTCAAGTGGAAGTGAGACAGTAAACGTGAGAGTGTCGGGTCAGGACAGTTTCTCCTCTGTTTGACACCGAGGTCACAAGTTCACTCTTCCTCCCGCTCCTGTTGACCTCTAACCTCATAAAACCCTAATCAGCCTGTTACACGGATCGTAGACAGACCTTCACACACACACACACACACACACACACACACACACACACACACACACACACACACACACACACACACACACACACACACACACACACACACACACACACACACACAACACCACACACACACACACACCACACACCACACACACACACACACACACACACACACACACACACACACACACACACACACACACACACACACACACACACACACACACACAGTAAGGGAAACTCCACATGTCGTCACTAGTTTCTAAAACATCTGGGATGCCTGATGAGAAGTCAGGACTTTTTTCCCACAACTTAAATAGTATATATGAACTCAATACTTCACACAATGAGCATGTTGTGAGTATGCAGTGTATTCATAACATGACAATATGAAGTATTCTTGACATAATGCATAGTGAATATTAAAATACATATGTACACAGCCTTGTCTGACACAATGCAGGAGGAGCTGCAGCTTGAGAAATATCTGGCAAAACAAAAAGATGAATTCAATCCTAAGAATTTATTGTTTTTCTTCATTTAAAACTCTTGTTTCGATGGCTTGAACTATACTTTAGTTTATCATTTCAGTTTTGTTTTAAATAGTTATTGTTATTGAATAATATATTGACCATTTCAAATATGGATTTAAATCAAAATACCTTTGGATTTATTAGCTGTGTGTTTCTTTCTAATTTGTGTTTTTGTTGACCTTGACGCTGCTGCATGCAAGGCCTTCGCAGGGCTTATTTAAAGGTCACCAACATGCTATTTTTAGGCAATAGCATAGGTCTCAGATATTAAAAATATATCAAAAACATGTCTATGAAGTGTTTTGCTCAAAATACCAAACAGATCACCCATTCTAGCCATGCCTCATATCCCTCTATTTCACTTCCTGCTTCAAAAGTGCTGATTTTGGGTATTAAGCTTTAAAAAAAACGTTTTTGATAACAAATAAAAAGGGAGGGGGCTGAGCTCATGAGGGACCCGGCAGCTACTGTCTAAACTAAATGCTGCCGTGATGAAACGCCATATCATGGATTATCAAGGATTATCTCTGAAACAGTTTGGAGCTCAAAGGCTTTCTCTCTTGCCGGTTGAGCCGTTGCAAGGTGAGTTCCTTTTCATTTCCTGCTTCTTCACACACATGCTCTCCAGTACAGGTTAGCTCTGAGTGTTAGCGATGCTAATGTAAACACCGACCATATTACGTCCAAAACAGTCGGGCATTGTTTCTGATAGCAACGTTTCTGATTGGGCCGAGGGTCCACATTTCAGATATTACGTCATATCGGACGCAAATCTGGATCAGTTCCGTTGTAGCCCCGTTTTTAGAGATTTAGATACGGAGGAAAAGAGAGAGGGTTTTATTTTCTGACGCTGCGCGAGTTCCCCGACACACCGGGGACATATATTTATGTATACAAGACATCAAAAAGTGCATTCTGCATGATAAGTCCCCTTTAAGTTGTATCACGTTATTGCATTGATTACTATATTGCTGTAACTATTCCTTATTGCAACCATAAGTAGTTAAGCTGACATCCTCGTGGATTCATCTTCTTATTACAGACACATGCATTTCCTAACATTCGGTCTATGCTGTAAAATGTATTATCTCTTCGATTTACACACGGCATCTATTGCACGTCTGTCCGTCCTGGGAGAGGGATCCCTCCTCTGTTGCTCTCCCTGAGGTTTCTCCCATGTTCCCCTTTAAACTGTGGGTTTTCTCTGGAAGTTTTTCCTTGTACGATGTGAGGGTCTAAGGACAGAGGGTGTCGTTTCTGCCAGCATCTGGACCGGATCATGTCATTAAGACTTGGACTTGTGTTGCAACCAGATATCTGCCACAAAGCCCTGCCAACAGGATGAAACTGTGTTTGTTGCCTGGCAACATCAGCTGATTGAAACACACCAGGAAGCTTTGCTGCGTTCAGGGCTGCAGATGATTCACCGATGACAGACAAATCTGTATTTATACGCTCAGGTTTCTGTGAAAGCAACTCTCTGAGGGTCAGCTTCATGCTTTCGAAGAGGGGAACCAAAAAACAGAACAGCATGCAGCATCCATTACTTATATCTGATTATATTTATACTGCCGGAAATAGAGCATTTTACAGTGTGAATAACACCATTTGAAATGCAGAAAATGTGTCTATTACGAACTGTAGGTTTTTGAGTCTTTTTGAAATTGCTAAAAGATGTCCCGTTTAATATTCTCAGTCTGAGATATTCCCTGAGTACTCTGTAAATTGAGCTGGAGAACGAATGAGATTTAACCTACTAACCTACAAAAAAAGTACAGAAACGAGGCCACTTGACAGCATTTTAACTGGAAGATGTTCACTCTGCAGCCTCGCACACAAGGCTACAACTCTTATGTCACAATGCTGAAGGTTTTCTGGGTTGAACAGAACATTTTCTCCCAAGGTTAAATTCTATAACATGTTTTTTATTAATGCTATGTTTGCTACCTGTTGATACTATTTAGCGGCTAAATACAGGCTGCTGTGATGTGGGTAATAAGTCTCAGGTATAATATGT